CGCGGCTAGGCTGCCGGCATGCAGGGCTCAGGGGCTTGTTGAGGTCCCCAGGGGCTTGGGGCCCGCCAGCGCCTGAAATGCTGGAGCGAAGACGGGAACCGCCTCTCATGCCTAGGGTTTTGAGACCCGGACCCTGGGTTTGAGACGCAACAAGAAGTTAGGGAAGTCAACGCTGAGAAGAGTGGCGGGCCCCAGGGGCCTGTGGGCCAGGTCTCCAGGGGCTTGGGGCCCGGGCCCCCAGGGCTTGGGGCCCGGCCTATCAGGGGCCTGGGGCCTTTCCCCACAACCTCCTGGAAGCCTGGCGAAGGCGTGGGCGGCTGAAACGGCTGTGCTTCGCCTGGAGGGAAACGAAGCCGGGATACCTCCCACCCTTGCGGATCCTTTCCTCCACCTTCCACGCTTGGCGTCAGTGATCTTGGATGGTTTGATCTTGACGGAACCTCCTCCTTCCCCTTCGCAGCAGGCATGGCCGCCCCGCAGGAAGGCTTCTGCTTGGCAGCGACCGCCGCCGCTGGCCTCTTCTTTCTGACCAGCAGGCTTGCCAGCCACCAATCCAGCCTGCTCTTTAACACTCATCTCCTGGCGACCAACGTCGAGATTCGACTCCTGCGGCTCGAGCATCTCCAGCAGAGGCTTCTCGCTCTTGGAAGCATCAAGATTTTTCATTCTTCGACTTCTCAAGAGGCTTTGCGCTTGTCTGATTGGGATCAGTGACGCGGTCTGTCAGCGCCAGGTTTTGCGTCAGTTTAATTTCGGTGATTGCAACCATAATTCCGAAACAGATTGCCCAGTGCAACTTTTTTTTTTTCAAAAAAAACTTGCAATATGCAATTTTATTTTTTAATAAAGTTGCAACATGTCAGTGCTGCAACATTTTTAATAAAGTTGCACTGTGCAAGTTTATTGTTTAATAAACTTGCACTCTGCAAGTTTTTTTCAAAAAACGGTCTGTTTTAGAGGTTTTTGGGGAACGGACGACCTATCGCCAATTTTTTTTTGGTTTTCTGCTTCCTGGCGCTGACTATTCACGCGTGCCTGCAATTTGGGCACCTGTCCATACCTTGGCTTGTTTCAGAGTTGCTTGCAGAAGGAGTTTTCAACTTTTTTTTTTTTTTTTGGAACCGTTTATGGGGATACATCGCTTGTATGGGGGATACTATGTTGGGACCTTGCTGGGTTCATCAACTGGACAGACACCTCCGCACGCACAGCCGCATCAATTGTAGTCTTTGTCACATATACGGGGACCTCATATGATATTTACGTATACATTATATGGGGACATTGCTACAAGGACCTTCCCGGGTTCATATACATGGTCACACACATGTGCAGAACGCAGACAGGATCTAGGTAGATCTATGTATCTTTATGTACATGCTCGCCGGTTTGTATACCCAATCACCCGGCCCTTATAATATTTGTATCACATTCTTATATGGGGGACTTCCCTACAATCAACTGCGTGGCCACGTTATTCATGTATATATGTACAGCCAGGTTTGTGATTATATGATGTACGGGGGCCCTTATATGGGAGTTCTATGGCACACTTCTTATATGGGGGAATTCTATATAACCTGGCGAAATGCACGTATGGCTGAGGACCCTGGAGCGTCCCGTCATTTCCACTCCTCTCTCTGTGATGATGCATGTGGCCATGCGCTCCCGAACCTGCGCCCATTCAGCCCCCCCTTGCCTCAGCTAAACCTTTTGCGAACATACAAGTTGCCTATGTATCCCCCGGCGTGGTTCACCTACACAAGGAGTTGGCCTTCCAGAAATCTGTGCGGGGTGAGACAGACGTCCTTCCGGCGACGCCATCACTATAGGACCCAGATGTCTTGCAGAATCCCCAAGACTGTAAAATTATCACTGGTTTGGCAATGCCACAGCTATGATGCTTGCACCGTCTCCGGATCCCGCAACAGGCCCAAAGCCAAGCAGCGTAAAAGTTGCCCTGAGAAGCTACCATCTGCCAGCACCCCCTTTCAGATTATGCCGGTAATGCTTTTTGCCGCAACACAGCTGATTGCATATGGTCAGGTTGCTAGATAGATACGATCTCAGCACGCACTGTGTTGCCGGCGCAGCAAGCAAAATCAACGTCTGCGCAGCGCCCTGCGCATGACCAAGATGGCCACTATTCTGGAAGCCTTTCTATACATACTTTCTACATAGGCTCTGAGTGCTCTTATATAATCCCATCACCAACAACAACCCAAGGTTAAGGCATTCAATCCCTCATACTCTACAATCGTCGCTCCAGAACAGAAGCCATCTTGGCCATCGCCTGCAAAGCCGTATCTATGCGGGCAAGGTGCTGCTTCTCAGTCTCCTTTTGCTCCTAGGCCCTCTTGGCCTGTTGGGCTTTGTGCCCTCCACGGCTGCGGTCGCGCTGCCTTCCCTGTCCGCTCCTGGGCAAGCAGGCAAAGGTTGCCGGAGACCAAAAGGTTGTATAGTGGATTTATTTAGATTAAGGGTTTATGTGGTGGCAAGTTTACAGGGCTTGGTGGATTAAAAAAGGGTTTCCGCAAAACAATCAAACAAACAAACCGCTTTCAGAAAAGTAGAAATGCTTTGAAGGTGAAAGCGGTTGTCCGGCCCCGCCCAGCCGCCAGGCACGTAGTAGCCCTTGCGAGCTCGAAACCGATCGCGAGGATCCATTGTAGTCATGCCACGAATCCACTGAGCCACTGCCGCGCCAGCGTCCCTGGCCCTCCTCCTTTGCAACGACCCACTCCTTGTCGGTCCACTCCAACGGGCTGCTCCCAATCTCCCTCAGGCTTGGGCTCGATTTTTGTCCACCCCGAAGCTGGCCACGACCATCCGTCGCCATCGCCCCACCATGAGCCGTCCTCGTCCTTGCCCTCCTCCATGCCATGGTCCGGACCCAGCACGTCTGCCACCCCATATGCTGGAGGGGTAGCAGGACTTGGCACTGCCTCCTCCTTCACCCCATACTCCACATTATCGATGCCCCTCTTGCCCATGTCGGGTCACTCACACAAGCGATCCCTTGCGCAGGGCGTCTGCGTGCAGACAATCTTAATTCCTCTGTGAGCATGCAACAGCAGCAAGTGAAAGACACTGTATCCAACTGCACTTCCAATCCTAGCAGCTGCGTATGCCCTCATGCAAAGTCAAGCCTACAATCCTGCGTGCACTCCTGCCACATGACATCCTATCAGGTGCGCACGCACTCCTGCAACATGTTAATGTGTGTCAGCTGCACATGCCCCTTTGTAAAATGCATGATGCCTCAAGCTGCTTCTAACAACACATGTCAGACCTGATGCTGGCAGAAACAAATATACCTATATAAGCTGCGCCTGACGCACATATCATTTGACACGCTTCCACTTGCTGATCCCCTGCAGTGAAACCGAACAAGAACACAATTGAGATTCTGTACATCACATATACACAGTCTGCGCCTAACTCCTAGTCACGTTCATCTTCTAGTGGCGCATCGTGCTTGTCCTTCAGGGGCTTCCTACCTCGCTTGCGCCTTTTCGGCTGGTGACCTGGGTCATCTGGTTTCTTGGTCCTCTTGCTTGCTGGCTGCTACCAAGCCGGGGAGTTGTTGATTGCCGTCCTGATGTACTGCAGGTTGTCCTCCGTGAGATGAAGCCAGAGGTCGCCCCTTATGTCCCAAAGGGTGTCCATGGAGCGAGCAGGCATGATCTCCAACAACAACAATCCGACCAACCAGACCAACCAAGTGGGCGTCCTCGGGGTGGCATTTCTGATTTTCGCTGGAGGCGCTTTTCCCTCTGCTTCAGCAGCCTGGATGATCACTTGCCTGAGCGTGGCGTTGCACGCCTCAACACGCAACTTTTTCATGGTCTCGAACCAGGCCACGTTTATGTGGTTTACTGGCCGGAACCCGATGCATGCAGGTTCATAGGTCTCTGCGTACAAAAGAGGTCAAGTTCCTGCACCACTTGGAGAGGCACAAGAATTTCTTGCCATCTACGACTTGGATAGTGGGCACCCATGTGTTCACTGGCTTGCCGAACGCTATCACGGTGGCCTCGTGCACGCTGAACTTGCCGGCGCCCTCATCCGCCTCGGCCAGAGCAAGTAGAGGCTCTTCATCCTCCATTGCGGCGAGCTGGGCCCTGCCACAATCACCAGCGAGCGTGTGCCCTGCTGGAGAAAACGTGACACAGCAGCGCACGAATGCTCAAGCATGCAAAGACTCTCAAACTGCAAGCTCCAGATTCGGATGTGTCAAGGTGTCAATTAAGGAGATCTCATGACGCTGCAACACAACAATACGGACATTGCAAGTTGTCTCCCGCCATTCATCCTAGCTCAGGGCTTCGTTTGCCGACTTACGCAGCTGACGCAACCTTGCCAAGAAATCATAAACCTGACTCTATGTAGCGCAGAGAGCAGCCGCGTTTGGCAACTCAGCTCTTGCGTCTCTTAGACAAAGGCTCCAAATGCTCCACAACTGGAAATTGCGAGTGAAAGAAAGCACCACCTTGCACGGCGTACCCTGTGCAGGACTTCTGCTTGAACCAGTTCTGGCTTGGCCCTGCCAACTCACAATTGCAATCAGATTTGACGTAGGAGGCTTTCATGACCCAGGCAGGATTCATGAATCCGCCTCACACGTCATCCTTCGGGACCTGCGTGTGAGGAAGCAAGTAAAGCACAAGGGGAGTCATCGGGCACGATGACATGCGCAACCTGAATGGCATTGTAGAAGACCGTATCCTCCATGGGCCTGACATCCAGACGGGGCGTGCCACAGGGGAGCTTCAGAGTGTGCGCTGCAAAGGTCTGGGAAACCTGGCCGTCCTTGCTGGGCTTGAGGAAAACCTGAAGCGCTGCCTCGTGCTTGAAGGCCTTGTATTGCTGCAGCATAGCACCTTGGACAGCTCCCTTCGCACTGGACACGTACAATTCATTGCTGTTCACAGGGGAAAAGTTGCGCCACTCATCGAAGCTGACTGCATGCGGCTTCACGACGTGCTTCTTCCACTGTCCAGCAACGAAGCTGTCCGAGGACACGCGAGACAAAGACCCGTCCTCCAACAACAGGTGGATGTGATCTGGCAAGATCTTGTCGATAGTCGCAACCACGCTATCATGCTTTCTGAACACCTTCATGCCCTTCTCAAAGCCAAGATCCGTCACCCTGGCAGAAGTCGCCATAGTACCATCTTCACTGTACAATCTCAGAGACCTCGTTCCAAATCCAAACCACATTGAGTCAAAAATCACAGACGAAGACTATAGTCAAAATACCCCATTGCTGCTGGCGAGTATCTTGCTTGATCAGTTTGTATAAGGGTGTACAAGTTCAAGTTCAAAACGCCATTCCGGGACTGATGAAGAAGCTTCTGAGGCCCATGGACTGGCTTGCCATGTTTGTCAGAAAGTCATTGCAAAGAGCTGGAAGGGAATCATACTTGACAAACTTGTGCTTCTGCAGAACGAGGGCCGCAGCCTGAATCTCAAGTTGGGACATCTCGGTCAAGAAAGCCTGGTGCTCCTTCACAACTAGCTTGAGCAACTTGGCGATTTGCAAGATCATGGCCTCAGCCTCCGCAATCTTCTGCAGCCCGTCCTTGCTGGTGAGGATTCTCTTGACGTCTGTCACGGTTAGGATCCGTTCTGGGCCGCACAGACCCAGCTTGATCATCATGTGCCGGAACGGTGCATGCTGAGTCTTGGACTTCAGCTCCATCGCAAGAGCTTGCCAAAGGTCGGCTCCTAAGGTCCGATTGACATATCCATGTGAGCGGATGTGCCTCTCAGTGAGCTGGAGGAACGCGTCAGGCCCGGTTCCACCGCCAAACTTCAAAACGAAGCTGTAGATGCCCGGAAGCGATGATGCATTTGGAGGCCGCGATCTCAAAATGTCACCAGACACCTGCAAGTAACTCACTTGAGTCTGCCCTGACTGCCGCATCACTCGCTCAATGGCCAAGTTGACCTTTCGAGCCAGTTGCAGCTCATGCTCCACAGAAGCGATTTGTCCTGCAGCATTACCTGCAGCTTGCGCTAGCGGCGCATACTGCGGAAACTCCTCCGTCACCTGGTGAGAGATGACTGTCCACAGGATTCCCTGAGAGATCGCAGTGTGCCAGGCAGGATCTATGACTGCCAACTTTTCCATGGAAAGGCGGCCGTCAACCGTATGTTTCCCGTCCGGGTGCGCCGCATTGAATCTGATGGCGCGGAACGCCTGGTTCGTATGTGAGCCTACAATCGAAGCATATCGGAGACTGGCAGGGTCGAACGGGGCCAATTTGCCTCCTGCGTCTTGCGCCAGGCATTTGTTAAAGGCCCTGACGACATCACCAGAGGATGCCTGTGGCACCTCTACGCATATGGCCTTGACCTCAGACTCCACGAACCCTATAGCTGCAATATTCGAGACCAAATCCTGGACGTGTCCGGCACTGCGCCCTAAGGCTGGGATTTTTTTTGACCCCGTGTCGGTTTTTATTTGGCCCCGCACTGACATAAATACTTTTTCGAAGGCTCAGGGTCAAAAAAAAACTTTCCGGATTTTTTTCGACCCCGTGCCGGGGTTAGAAAAAATCAGAATTTGTGCCTTAATTGACATCTCTACTGCCGTCTTGCCTCAGCTCACCCTTTGCTCTTGGAAAGTGTTGTTGGGGTGTCA